ACTAGAATGCCTGTACAAAGACAACTAGAATGCGTGTAAAAACGTGTAAATACAAATACATTCTTCCAATTGAGAAACCAATGTTTGGTAAATAACATATAAATATGAGACTAAAATCAGAATAACAAGACACTAACAAACGGCTACTAACAATTATAAAAAGTAGTCATGGTCCCGGGGTTGGGTTCTAGATGTCGTTCATTCATTCTTAATAAGAGCATGAGAGACCAGGCCGTTTCTGTGACAGTATTTCAGAGCCATTATTCCCAACAAGATGCACTTCGTACTCCAAATCCAAAATAATGAAAATTACATCAACATATGGATTTATGAATGCTTTCTTCCATAAATCAAAGCTTCAATAGATGAATAGGGATTGTGGGGGGTAATACTATATGCAAAAGTGAGCACTATATATGGATCAATGATCCTAGAGTCCATCAAAATGATCCTTGTCTGCGAGATGAAAAATTGAATCCATACATCATCTCCATGAAATTACATCATGAATCATGAATAAGTAACATTTTGGAGCACAATGTACATTTCATAGGAATTGTGTATAGCATGGGGTTACCCCACTGACTGCGGGTTGGTTCTTGGATTGATAATTTCGATCATAGCCGTCCAGCCCCAATTGTACTATAGATCACTGGAGTTTTGACTCTGACAACATTGGAATCACCTTTGCTCATCATTTGCACTGTAGCAATAATAAGGGATAAAAATGCATAACCTCAAAAGCCTTAATATCAAAATAATGGTTCAAAAACGAGGTTTTGAAAGTTTAACCCTAAATGCTGTACACATTCAAAGTTTAGACGTCTTAGTAGCCGATAATGAACTTGTAGACTGACCAACAAAATTTCTCAACAGTGTTTGTTTCAAATGTAGCACGAATTATAAGAGTAATCTTGTATGCAATGAATTGTTAAAAAAATAATACTGTGTAAAAACTTGTAAACAAGTGCATGTATCAAACCTCAAGTGAACACAGACCTTATAATCTCCAGATCATTCGTGTAGGCAGAAGAAATATTAGGGTGGGCCAGTATAAAGATTGTTTTCTACTCCCTCCGTCCAGCTAACAATGGGACAAAAGGGAGTGACACGCAAATTAATAAAAAGTGGTTTATGTGATTGATATCGAATTGATAAAGTAAGAATGATTTAGAGCCACACAAATTTACCAAATTTGGTATTGGACAATCTTATTGGGACGGACCGATAAGGTAAAATGGGACAATCATAGCGGGATGGAGGTAGTAATATTTTTTTACATAATCTTCTTTGCACATAACTATAAGCTTTTTCAAATTTGGATTGGGCCGGGGCCTAGTAAGAAAAATTGTAGCATGGCCATCCTATAATGTAGAAACATTGTAGACTTGTAGTATGGCCATTCTTGTAAATTTGGGATACACAAGTGCTCTCAATCTACTCGAGGACTAATGCACAAATTGTATATGGGTAATATGGCCATCCTATATTTGTAAAGCAAATACACAAAGAACATGATGCATGGAGCAAGTAGTTGGTGAAAGGTGATTGGGTTCAGGTTTTGGTGAATTGTGGTAAATTGTAAGCTAACTGGTAAAAAACATTACTAAAGGCAAAATAGTCATCTCGAATAAATCAGGATGCTGATGCCGTTAGTTGCACTTGTCCAATAATGGGTGCTACCAAATGCCATGAGTACTTTGAGTATGTTTAGCATGCCATAAGATAGCTTATAAGATCACTATTACTCAGTAGCTTTTCTAAGATATCTTTTCACAAAAGATCCATTTGGATGAGCAAAATTATTTAATATGAAGTACTACCTCCGTCCCACTAAGATTGGGACAAGAAAAGGTGGCACGATTATTAAGAAAAGTGGTTTTGTGTGGTTGATATAAAATTGATAAAGTAAAAATAAAGTAAGAATGAATTAGAACCACACAAACTTTACCAAATTTGGTATGAGACAATCTTAGTGGGACTTCCCGAAAAGGTAAAATGGGACAATCATAGCGGGACGGAGGGAGTAAGTTTCATTGAGTAGGTTTTCAAATGAGCTAATGAGTTTTACTTCATAGTTTGTTACCTCATTTTTGTTTTAAATGTATTCTAATTTCTAAACCTATGCTATTATGTCAATTTATTGACATTTCTAAACAAACTTCTTAGCTAATTTTTACCAAACAATATATAAGATCAGCTGACCTACCAGCGTAGTAAATTTTAGAGAATTACTTATAAGAAATTGCACTAAATAGATTTGAAAACAAGGTGGTTTCCCTAAATAGGAGCATAGTGTTTTTCTTAAATAGGAATAAGTATTACCATCCTGAAACCATGTTGTCATATTGTGACATTCATACTGCCATATTAAACCTGATTATGGAAAAATATGACAATATTATTTCAATATGGCATAATATGACAATATATTTCAATATGGCATAAAATCACAGTATTATTTCAGTATGGCAGTATTTCACCCTATTTAGGGAAAATAAATGGTTACTCCTATTCAGGAAAACCAACTTGCTTTTACTTTTATTTTGGGAAATTTCTCTCAACTTATAATCTATCAGCTGACTTTGTCAATTATAAGCTTGTTTTTCTAAACTAAATTTTACCATACAGTAAATGAGATCAGCTGACTTATAAGCTATAAAGTACAAGTATAATTTAGAGATTAACTTTTAAGCTATCGGCCAACTTTATCGATAACAAACTTGTTTTGTCATACATTATACATAGCAATTGGCCTTTATCATTAATCTTTGAATCATTGGATGCTTAGTAATGGAACAATTTTACTTCTTTTTATTCTTTTGTTACAATAGAAAGTTTGAACTAGTACTACTATAGTATAATCACAATAAGAACAAAATTTGATTCTTCTTTTTCCCAATCTCTTACTTAAACTTTCATAATGTTAAACAAAATATTAAATGGGCATTTCATCTTTTATGCTCATCATTACCACATGTAGTAGAGGGTAAGCTAAGCCGCTAAGGCCAAGGGTAGTGAACTGCTGGGGCCTGGGGGTATACAAGCCAAGTTAAGAAGTAAAAGAAGGAACCCATAGTTTGCAGCAGTACACTGTCCTCTGATGTTATCTTTTTCCTCATCCCTGTAACCCTGTCCTATCTATTGTAACCGTCACCATCAGCAGCATAATCTAACTATTAGGGGTTAGTGTCATTAAACTATTGTGCCAATTAATTAACACTACAATTTCAAAAGCATTGAGGCAGTGTTTTACTCCGGATGCCCTTCCAATGGTAACCTTTATAAAAAGGAACAACGAAATGAAAATTCTAAAACTGCCGTCATTAATCATTTTAGGTTATTTCGACATGCATGAAAAATATATAATTGGCCACTAAATTAAATGTGGTATTTTCAATATTCGTATACAACAACAACAACATTACACCAGTGCCGCAAAGGCTCGCACCAATGGTGGTATTTTCCATTACATAATTTAAATTGCAAGGAAATCCAGCAAATCATGGAAATGACCAATGTTTTATTCAATATTTATTGCTTTGCTAGTTTTCTTATTTCTCCATGTAAGAAATAGGACAAAGAGATCCACAATAATGCTTCAGTAAACAGCTTAGCTCAGTCCCTACTCCCTTTCCATGTTGATCAAAATTTTGTTCATCTTAAACATTTAAGAGTATATATATTTGAGTCATGCCATTAGAGCTACTTGACCATGGTGAATCCAACTTCTTTAAAAATAATAATTCAAGAGCAACAAAAATGTACTAATTCGAAAGAAACCTAGTCTCTTCTAGCACATATTGCAAAGAAACTGGCATTTCATCATACAGTTTACAGAATATTTAAGGATTTCAATTGCTGTATCCAGATCCATGGAAATTCTACCACGCGCGCACATATATAAAGAGACGTCAACAAACACATAGCACATGAAATTGATTAACAAAACGATCCATCTTGGAAATTAATCACGTGCGGTATTGATAGTTGTGATTGTTTACCTGGACTAGAGAAAAACCACAATATAATAGCAGACAGTACTAGTACAACTGGGATAAGGTGAATGGCGTTCTCCGCAAATCTGAGACGGTTTCGATCCTTCTTAGCTACCTGGGATTGGGGATGGTACGACGGCAGCTCATCCAGTGCGCCGGAAGACGTGGATTTTAGATTCGGAGATGAGAAGGCGGGCGTCGGAGATGTTACAGGGTAGGGAAAGAACTCATCGGAGACTCGACCGGAGCTCGACGAGCGGTACATCGCCGGTAGTTTTGGTGGGGACTGTAATAGGAAGGGGAGTAGAAACCGTTGAATGGTGGATGGTGGCCGGTGGGGTTTGACTTGTTTCCGCGGGTTGGGGAGACGGAAAAGCGGTAGAAATACTAGCCGCAGCCCGCCACGATGACCTTTTGACTGTTACAGTTTTACGTTGATAAAAAAGGGTGTATGTAAATAAATAAAGAGTCAAATACGTTCTTGTACCTTTTCGGATTGTTGAATTTGCCTCCTCAACCCAAAAAAGCTCCAATTGTTACTCTGAACTCGATAAAAATATTATGGTATTATTATATAAAACTCATTCAATTACTTTAATTCAGTCACTGATTAGACACCATTATTCGTTAATTTTAGAACTCTCTCTCACACACAAAAAATAAGAAAATGGATTCGAAGGGGACGATTTGCATAAAAAAAATTAAGCCAATGCACATCGTATAACATATATAAGTTGATCGTGAATTGATATAGACAAATACAAATAAATAAAATAATGTACTCCCTCTGTCCCGCAATGAATATTTATAAGAATATTGAAATATATTGTCATAATTACTACGTTTGGCACATCGTATACGAATATTGAAATATTGAAAATACCAATTATAATTGGCCACTAAATTAAATGTGGTATTTTCAATATTCGTATACGATGTGCCAAACATAGTACGATAATTTTTTATTTCAATATTGCATATATCTACAAAAATTGTGCTCTATTTCAAAACTATAGGTTATTTCATATATTTTATTAATGCAATATCTACAGATCAATTTGAGTGTTTTATAACCCACTCAAGGACTCTAAGTCCAACAAATCTGATTCAAACTAGGCATTCCAACGATAGTTATTCATTCCAACTCTATAAATAGAACCCACCATCCATAAAATCTACTTATACATTAGAAGAACTACAGATTGTGGAAGTGGGCGGCTGGCCCGTCGTTCCTTCGCGAACGAAGTTCAGAAGGAGTCCCATCCCATCAAGTCAGGAACCAACAACAGGTTTTTAAATACTCCATTAGTTTTCTATTCCTCACATATCTTTCGTTCCTCTCGCTTTGCCCGAGCCATTATTGAACAGTTGTTTTCCCCAGCTCTATCCAAGTCAAGCGACTAGCTTTCCGTACCGACAAAAGCATAGAACTAAGTACGCAGCACCAAAATTCGACGATAGGCATAATCAACCAGAGAACTGATTTGGAGCAGAGAAGAAAATTTAAGGTAAAAAAATATATACTTTTAATTGTATAACCTTTTCTTCTATTCTCCTTCATTGAGCAGGTATCAAATAATACGGAGGAACAGAGCATAATGAGAAGCTCCGTAGAATATCAATATAGATGATTGTGATGAACAACTGAATTGGCCGCTGCAGTTGGAAGTAGAGTTCGAAAGTCACCGGCCGGAATTTTGTTGATGCGGTAATTTAAAGTTGATTCAAGGAGGTGGGCCTGCAGTGAGATTCTTCCAGAGTTGTAGCCATCCGTTTATTTATTTTGACCGCCGGTGCAGAGAGGAAATTACTTGTGCTGCTGGGCTGTTCGTTTGCTGGAGAGAAGACCTGGCCGGGTCTTTGAAGTCGATTCCTGGTCGGAGAAGAAGGGCTGCCGTCGGACGGTGCTGCTGGGGGTTCAATTCTGATGGTGAGCAGCAGACGGAGGCTTCAAAGAAAAAGATTGCTGCTGATTCCTTCAATCCTTCCTCCATCTGTACGTTCGAAGAAGAAGTACTGCTGATTCCTTCAATCCTTCAATCCTTCCTCCATCTGCTGATTCGGTTGGTTGCTGGAGAAGATGGTGGGAGGCCGATGCTCTGCTGTTGCGGATGAAGCTGATGGCGGTGTTTGTTGCGTTTTTGGCGAGGACTGAGAAAGCACGATCGATTCCACAATTTAAGCCTTCCAGATTGGGAATGGGAAATGTTTGTTGCCTGCTGCGTGAAGACGACCAAGGGAATGGGAACTGGGCTGTTTTTAATAAACATTGGGCCTGTCCAGAATTTAAGCCTTCCCATTTTTAAAGGCTTGGGCTGTATTCCACAAGTGGAGCTATTTAATAATAAGGAGGCCCGATTTCTTTGCTATTTGAAGTGATTTGAACGTGGTGTCACTTGTTGAAGAAGAAGGAGTTAAGCCTATTGTCGGTTGTCGGTGTCGCTCGGGGCCCTTCGTTGGGCTAGTGGCACCGTTCTAAAGACTTAGGCCAATGAAGTCGTCGGTGTCGCTTGGGGCCCTTCGTTGGGTTAGTGGCACCGATCTAAAGAATTGGTCCGATTGCCGCTTATCGGTGTCGCTTGGGGTCCTTCGTTGGGCTAGTGGCACCAATCTAAAGAATTGGTCCGATTGTCGGTCATCGGTGTTGCTTGGGGCCCTTCATTGGGTTAGTGACACCGATCTAGAGAATTCGGCTAATTGCACCTGTTGAAGACTGAGATGTTGCCGCTACTTTCGACCTTTGTCCATTCTGAAGGAGCTTGACTAATTATTGGCCAGTGTTACTGATTTCTTTGTTTGTCTAGTCAGAAGATGAAGCCAATCGCTCGGGCTTGAGATTGATTATCATCGCTGAGCGGCCCTTTTTTTTATTATTATTACTTTTTTTAGTAATAATAATAATGATGATGATGATTTTTTTTATCTCCTTTTTTTTGCAGTCCAAAATGATATCTTTTAAGGACGTAAGGCGTGGAGGCAAAAAGTATCTCTCCGTATCAACGAGCAAAAAGAATGACGAATAGATTCTTTTGGAGATGCACAAGCCATTTGCTCGCGAGTTTTGGGGTCCAACGGTTGTGTCCTATCGAATTACAAACTGGACTCCTGAGTGCGAGTATCAAGCTCAGACAATGCGGACTTTAGTATCTGGCTTTACTCACATGTCCTCTTCTGAGATTCTTCCTTCTTTGGGTAGACGCATCCTTGATGAAAACGTCCCTTTGACAAAGACCTTATCATTCGGTGGTGAGTTTAGATTCATCACAGGTTATTGGGACTGGGCCGAAGATATCTTGAGCATGAGTAAAAGCGTTCTGGAGGAAGGGCTTATTTACGATGCTGTTTATGCCTCATTATTCACGTATGACCGATGTACTAATGCTATTCAAGCATTTTGTGAGGCATGGTGTCCCACGACGAATACTTTGCTTACGTCAATTGGTGAATTGACGATCACACTTTGGGACTTGCACGTTATCGGAGGATTTCCTATCATCGGAGACGCATATGATGAATCTATTCCGGGCACTTCTGAGTTGTTAAATACGAGCGCTGACCGTTCATTTCATCTCTGCAAATATTTGTTTCACGCATATCATCATCTCTTTCCCAAAGCCGGAGATAAGCGTGTTTTGCGTGTTCATGCGGGGGTCAAATTCTGGTTCAGAAAGGCCTCCAAGTATACTATGCCTCCAGTGAGAACAGAAAAGAAATGAACATCTCGTGCCAAGGCGACCCATAATCCGAGCAGAGCTATTCCAAAATTTGGAGGATGGTCGAATTCTATGAGGGTACCATTCCACGTACTCAAGGTTCCTGCTGAATATGAGGAAGAGGTATATTTAGCGCCATTTTTATCGTGTTGGCTTTGCGCATTTGTATTGTTGCATGAAGGTCCTAGAGTTATCCGCCCGGAAACATTCAGGGTTGCTTGTATGTTGGCTCGAGGGAAACGTGTATGTCTTGCGGTCCCGGTTCTTGCAAGTGTCTATCATGGGCTTAATCGGATCTCGAATGCTCCAGCTCCTGATCAAGTTAGAACATGTTTTCCCGTTCACTATGTCTATGGATGGTTGGCATCATACTTTGATACGCATTTTAAGAATGAGATCCAGTCCACCACGCCATTAATGATTTCTTATTCGGGAGAAAGTGCAGCGAGATCCCTCGAGAAGAGAAGTGCGCGCAAACGAATTTTCCAGGGAGATGTATCAGCATGGGTGTGTTCTACGCATCGGAGAATCAAAGAATATTCATTCTTCGATGGTAAAAATCCTCCAGAGGCTGAGTTGGCGCTTTTTAGGAGTCTTCAGTCTAATTATCTTGTATTACGCTACCGGGATCATTGCATTGCTGAGCCTTACACTCCTCACCGCTTTAGTCGCCAATTTGGGTATTTTCAGGCTTATGCTTCTGGCTTTCTTGAGATGCGTAATCGGAGTGTCACACTTGCTGCTGGCTTTCAGCTTTGGCTACAGTTTGAGCACGACATGTCACAAGCTGAAGCGGTATTTCTGACTCCTCCTACTATTCCAGCGAAGTATTTCTCCTTGGAGTATAAAGAGTGGTGGAGCCAAGTTCATGGTAACTACCTCGAGAATCATGTGGGTGACTTGATTAGGATTTGTGATCTTGCAGTTGGTGATGTGATCATCCCTTCGGATCCTGTGACTCCAATCTCCAAGAAGAAGAAAATGCCTGATACTGAAGCTAAGTCTTTGCCTCAGAAAAAGGCTAAGCTTGTAGCACCTAGGGCTGAAGTTTTGATTAAGGACGCTGAGAAAGAAATGTCTCCTGCCAAGGCGAGTGAGAATCAAGTTCTTGAAAAGCAGAGTAGTGATGAGAAGAACTGGAAACATCTTAGAAAACCTCGTCTTGGACCACTGAAGGTTAGTTTCATCATTTTATAGTTTTGTTTCAAGCTTGTACTTATATTTTCTTCCTTCTTTTGCAGATTCATGCAGTCCTTGATGATGCTAGTTCTTCGAATCATGTTTCTTCATCTAGCTCAAGTGAAGGAGAAAGCGCAGATCAAGACACCGTCGCTGGATTGATAGCAGAAACCGGCCCAAGTCATTGTAAAGAAGTTCCGATCCATGAAATACCCGAGTCTTCTCATGCGAAACCGGCTGCGTCTGTATTCCATGCAGAAGACTACTTCTTTACTTTGTATAAGCAGTTCATCATTAATACTTGGAGTGGCCTTCAACAAAAGTTAGGATGGGCTACAGCAGAGAACGTCTCATCTCTTCGGGAGAGTGTTGAGAATTGTGTTATCTTGATGGAGAAGGAGGGCATTGACCTTTCCATGTTGAAGACGAGAGTGAAGCATTTCTTTGACAGGGCACAAGCATTTGATCAGACGTGTTCGACTGTTGCTGATAGGGTTCCTTCTGAGAAACAATCTCAGGAATTGGCTATGTCGCAGGCTTTTTGTGAAGATATTGAAGCTAAGAGATCTCAAAACCAAGTGGCATTACTTGATGATGAGGAGTCTCTTAATGAAATCAAGAAGAAGATAGTCTTGTTGGAAGCTGAAGCTAAGGAAGTAGAAGTTTCGATCTCCAAGCGTCGTGTAGAGGCTAGTGACTTAGACGCAGCTCTTACGAAGGCTAAGGAGGAATCTTCACGGATTTTGAAGACTATCAAAGCATCAGATGAAGATCAATTTGCTTTAAGTACTCAGAAGAAGGAGCTAGAGGCCTTGAAGGATGACTTAGTTAGCTTTAAATTGTTTTTAGGCTGATACTTAGCTTTTAGATTAGCTTTTAGTCAGCAAACAACTCTTTTCCTTACTTCTTACCAAACTTTATATGGATATTTGTTTCCTTTGTTGCTTCTCATGAGTTGATATTGCCTTGCTTCTTCTTCTGTTTTTTCTTTCTTTCTTTTTTTTTTCAAAGTGATTGAGATCAAACTTTATTGAGGGTTTGTGTTGTTATAACTGAACTCAAAAATGAAACTTTTGAGATGCCTACGTACTCCTATGAAGGAGATCAAGTCAAACGTAGTTCATAAGTACCATTTGAATTGGTAAACTAAAGGAGGGGACCGTACACAGTTTTAACTCATGCGGGCCAGGAGCTTGCCGTACACATTTTAAACTCTCGTGGGCCAAGAGCTCGCCGTACACATTTTAAACTCTCATGGGCCAAGAGTATCTATGATTATGCTCACCCATAGACAAAGTGAGATGTTTTAGCAGTTTAGCCACTGACAATATCATTGGTGGTTTTAAGCCATTCAACATTTCTTATGGCCATATCTATACCCCAAATATCAAGGGTGGTAGAGCTTTAAAAATCTTCCATTGATCGGGCCAATCTTTGAGCCATCTCCATCGACCAACTTGTAGGCACCGCCTGAATATACTTCTTGAATAACATAAGGACCATCTGTAATACTTGAGATTTAATTTAAACGGATTAATAGTACTACTCATACCAACAAGGTGCATCTCCTTTTAAGGGAGCTCATTAGCCAAGAACTCCAAAGTTAAGCGTGCTTGCACGGGAGTAGTCTTGGGATGGGTGACCCCCTAGGAAGTTTCTCAGGGCGCGCATGAGTGAGGACAAAGTGCGCGGAAAAGGCTAGTGGTGGTTTGTGAGGATAGTACTATTGGTCTAGAGTAGCTACCTCGAGTCCTGCGAGGCCGGGGTGTTACAAATGGTATCAGAGCAATCCTGCGACAGTGTGTTGATCCGTTGGATATCGAGCGGGCACTTAGCAGGGGAAAAGATTCTGGGATATGATTGAGATTGGTTTATGGGCGCAACGAGGATGTTGCGTTCCTAAGTGGGGGTGATTGTAATACTTGATATTTAATTTAAACGGATTAATAGTACTACTCATACCAACAAGGTGCATCTCCTTATAAGGGAGCTCATTAGCCAAGAACTCCAAAGTTAAGCGTGCTTGCACGGGAGTAGTCTTGGGATGGGTGACCCCTTGGGAAGTTTCTCAGGGCGCGCATGAGTGAGGACAAAGTGCGTGAAAAAGGCTAGTGGCGGTTTGTGAGGATAGTACTATTGGTCTAGAGTAGCTACCTCGGGTCCTGCGAGGCCGGGGTGTTACACCATCCCATTTAGGTGAGAATTTGTGCCCCATTTTTTGTGTGATAATGATAGGTCTTCTCACAGCTAGAACTTTATCGCCAACTTGGAATGAGCGAATTCTAACCCTTTTGTTGAATGATTTCGATAAACGAGCCTGATAGCATTCTAGGTTCTGCTGAGCTTCTAACCTCTTTTCATCAAGTGCCTCGAGTTCTGTCAACCGCAACTTGACGTTTTCTTCATCAGTGAGTCCTTCTTGAATAGCCAATCTCAGAGATGGTATTTGGCGCTCAAGGGGAAGGACTGCTTCGGTACCATACACCAAAGAATATGGAGTGCTTTGAGTAGGTGTTTGATAAGTCGTTCTATATGCCCATAATGCTTCTTCCATTCTTTCGTGCCAATCCCTCTTTGATTTTGACACTACTTTCTTCAACAGGTTACATAGAGTCTTGTTAAAAGCTTCAGCGAGGCCATTGGCGGCAGCATAGTACATAGAGGACTTCCGTTGCTTGAAATCAAATAACTTGCATATCTTGTCCATCAACTTGTTGTCAAAAGGTTTCCCATTGTCCGTCAAGATATATCGGGGAATACCAAAGCGGTAGATGATATGAACTCGGATGAAATCAGCAACATTTTCCTTCTTCACCTCTTTCAATGCAACTGCTTCGGCCCATTTTGAGAAGTAATCAGTAGCGGCTAGTATGTATGAATGCCCTCCTGATGAGCTAGGTGTGATTGGCCCAACTACGTCAAGTCCCCAAGCGTCGAATGGCCATGATGCTACTGTCGGATGCAAAGGCTCTGGTGCTTGATGGATGAAATTTGCGTGATATTGGCATGCTTGACATCTTCTAGCATAGTCGGCCTGATGAAAGTGCAACTTTGGATCGGACTGATGAGCTCCACATACTCCTGAATGTGCTTCTTCCATTGCTTGTAAGACTTCATCTCCACCCAAACACCTAAGGAATACACCATCGAATGATCTTCGATAAAGCGTATCTTTATAGTAAATGAAACGCGGTGAACGCCTCTTCAAGTCTACTTTCTTGCGGGGATTTTCAGGTAATTTCCCATCAGTGAGATAATCAATGAGCGACTGCCTCCAATCTTCATTTTCAATATCATAAACCGAGGTAGTTGGCATCTCGACTATCTCTTCGGCTACACCATCGTCTCCAATGAATGGAGGAATTACCCATTTTTGACATACCCGTACTTGAGTTCCATCGTCAAGGTGTGCCATGTTTGATGCTAACCCTGTCAGTGCATCGGCTTGCTTGTTTTCTTTTCTTGGCACGTGTTCAATTGTAACTTCACCCAGCCATCCTATGAGTGCCCTTGCATATTTGTTGTAAGGATGCAGTTCAGGTTTCCTTACTTCATAAATTCCAAGCACTTGATTGATGATTAGCTTTGAATCGCCATAGATATTAATTCGTGTTTGCTTCATGTCTACAGCTATTTCAAGTCCGAGAATGAGTGCTTGATATTCAGCGACGTTATTGGAGTATTGTTCCGTAAGCGTGAAAGCATATGACAGAACTTGACTTTCGGGTGTAACAAAGACCACACCAGCTCCAACACCTTCTCTGTGTGCAGCTCCATCAAAATACATCTTCCATGGAGGCAAAACTTCAATTATGAGCACATCTTCATCAGGTAGATCATAAGAAAGTTCCCACTCAGCAGGGATAGGGTGATCGGCTAGGAAATCTGCCAAAGCTTGTCCTTTTACAGATTTTTGTGAGACATAAACAATCTCAAACTGTTGAAATATCAAGTACCACCTAGCAAGACGATCAGATAAAACCACTTTGGACATCACATACTTCAGTGGATTTGCTCTGGAGATAAGATTTATTGTGTGAGCTTCAAAGTAGTGTTTAAGCTTCTTGATTGCAAATATAAGGGCCAAACACAATTTCTCAATGGGCAAGTACTTCAACTCGTGTGGGGTCATCATTCTGCTTAAATAATAAAGGTCATTCTCCTTCCCTTTATCATTTTCTTGAGCTAATAGAGCTCCCACAGACCTTTCTTGAGCAGCAATGTAAAGTATCAAGGGGCGGCCAGAGATAGGTGCGTTTAGGATCGGTGGTTTCATTAAATAAGCCTTGATATTTTCAAACGCATTCTTACACGTTTGGTCCCATATGAAAGGCACACCCTTCTTCATAATTCGACTAAATGGTTGACATCTTCCAGATAAGTTCGAGATAAACCTCCGTATGTAGGCCAATTTTCCTTGCAAACTCTTCAACTCATGAATATTTCGAGGCTCCGACATATTCACAATAGCGTCGATCATGGCTTGTTCTATCTCAATGCCTTTGTGATGGACAATAAACCCCAAGAATTTCCCGGCCGAAACTCCGAAAGCACACTTCAGAGGGTTCATTTTGAGACCAAACTTCATCAAGCGATCAAATACTACTCTTAAGTGTGATAGATGATCGCCTTGAGCTTTTGACTTCACCACAAGGTCGTCAACATAGCACTCTACGATTTTGTGGAGGATATCGTCAAATATTGCCTGCATAGCTCGTTGATAAGTAGCTCCTGCATTCCTAAGTCCAAATGGCATGACCGTGTAGCAATAGATCCCTTTAGGAGTTCGGAAGGCAGTCAATTCTTCATCTGCGGGAGCCATCCGGATCTGATTATAACCTGAGAAACCATCCATAAAAGACATAATTTCATGCCCAGTCACAGCATCTATCATTAATTCAATGATTGGAAGTGGAAAATCATCTTTTGGACAAGCAAGGTTAAGATCCCGAAAATCAACACATATTCGGATTTGTCCATTTTTCTTTTTGACCGGGACAATGTTGGATATCCAAGTAGGATATTTCACTTCTCGAATGAATCCGGCCTCAATAAGTTTATCAACCTCTGCTTCAATTAATGGAATTAAATCTGGGCGGAAGCGCCTTTGAGCTTGCTTTACTGGTCAGCATCCTTTCTTTATCGCTAAGTGATGAACAACGATTTTTGGATCCAATCCCGGCATTTCTTTGTATGTCCATGCAAAGACATCCTTGTATTCTTGGAGTAAGGCCACATATTCTTCTTTTTCTTCGCTCGATAGAAGAGTACTGATATAAATGGGACGAGGGTCCTCTTCGGTGCCAAGATTTACCTCCTTCAGTTCATCCAAGGCTGTTCGCACTCCTTCTTCAAATTCCGGAGGAGCTTCATCAGCATCTTCACCTTCGACCGGGATTTCATCACCAAAGGTAATATGGTATGATGAGGCAATGTATTCTTCGTCATCAATCAGTTCATCATATTTGAACTTATTATCTGCAGGCATTCGAGTATGAATAATTGTTTTCAACTGTACTTTGAGAGTTTCTCCACATGAGACTTGCACATCAGTTTCTCGCCTCATTCGGGATGGAATCAAGCTTCTATATTCATTCAAGACTTGTGTTTTTGTATCTTTGTTGAGAGACTTCTTGCGTGAGCAAATTTTCCCTAACCTTTCATGTACCGGCTTTCTCTCAAAGTTTTGCCCACTACATGGGTCCTCCATGTGCTTTACTATGAAGGGGATCATTCCAAGCCTTTCTTGTAAAGTTTTCTTCATGATCTTCTTCGGCTTTGGCCCCATTCTATCAAAGATGGCGGGTTTTGATTTTGCCCCCCCAATCCGATAAAAAACGGAATACTACGGTTTAGAAGTCACCTCATCTTCTTCATCCGCACTGATATGATGCGTTGTAGCTCTATTTATGAGGATTCTTATGGGTTTTGGCTGAACGTAACCCA